CAATCTTCCTCAAGCAAAAAGAGGAAGATTGGCAACAGATGTTAGTTCAGGGCCAATCTTCCTCACACACACACACACACAAAGTATATAAAATATTGCCTTGGAATTCCAGACACCGTAAGTACCGGATGGAGGAAGCATGACTTGATAGCACTATCTGTAAACAAAGTAAGCTCATATGAAAGAGCAGTGTGACGTGGCCGCCCAAAAACTGCCATGCAGGCTTCTGCTCTTTTAATAGAATCAGGACGTCTCAGATGAGGCAGGACTCTGCCAGTCCACTCTGCCAATCACATCTCATCACACAGGATTTCCTTTCTGAACACCTCATTTTTAGACGGTTGTGCACAAACTGGAACATGGGCAGAGAGCAAGGAAGAGAGTGAAGGAAGTTGAAATTGTGTCCTGTGAGGAACAACCTAGGTATTTGGCTTGAGGAAAACTCAGAGGACAGAGATCATTTTCACGGGAAAATATGTAGCACCTGGCGGAGTTTATGGTCATGAGGGAAGGACATGTGGTGTGGACCTCATGAAACTGCAGGGATGCGTTAGATCTCAAGTCAGGAAAACTAGGGGCTGGGGTGGCAGCCATTCTGTAGGAGACTGTTTGCCACAAAGAGCTGCTGCTCTGTCTCCCACAGAGCATCTGGGCACCAAGGAAGACATCGCTGGAGCCTCGCTACTCACCCTGGCCGAGTGTGGTCTCCACAGATCAGCTTTGACTCACACTGTCCTCACCGACTTCCACCACTGCCACCCGAGCCAGGTGTGGAGCCGAAACACTGAGATGTCCTTGTCTCCTTCAACATAGGCTCTCCCTCCCATTCCAAACAACCACCAGGGGCTCATGGACTCCCTAAGGCACTGACTTTTAGAAAATTGATGAATTTTCCAAATTGCCTTGAAAAGTTTAAAAATAGTAGAAGCCTAAAGGGAAAACCATATGATAAGATTTTCTCTCCCTGCCAATGAAATCCACTCATTTCAGCCCCCTCTTTATAGAAACTGGATATTATCCCCATTCTTGCACTCTTTTTCTTTGCTTTGTGTTTTTGAGATAATCGGTTGCCTTCAAATTACTATATCAACTGTCTGATGAAGTTCTTAGGTTTCTTGGACTCTATGACCCTGAGATTTTCTAGAGGTAGCTGGTGTCAATTTGAGAGAGAACCAGAGAAATTAGTAGAAATAGGCCTTAGCATCAGAAAAGTCTAAATTTAAATCCTTGCTCTGCCACTTCCTAGCTGTGTGACCTTGGGCAAGTTAATATCTATGGTGATCATGCATTAATGTAGTCAAGGCATGTTCGTGGAATACCTGCTGCGACGCCAGCCTCTGTAGTTGTGCCTGGTGTGAGGGATCATGAAAAACATTAAAGAAAAGAATAGTCTTAGGATATGTGAGGTTTTGATATAGTCCCATCTATCAAAAATACTTATTTTCCTCATGGTAGGAATAGGGAAGATAATAATTTCAGAGTGTTGCTAAGACTTAAAACAGATAACTAGTAAGAAATTCCTAGGAGAAATTATATCATGTTGATTCAGCAAATAATTTCCTTCCTTCTTTCTCCTTCCCTTTTCTACCTTCCTTTCTACTTGGCTTTTGTTTGTAGAGGAATGTCATACAAGGGTACTTTCCATGTGTGTATCAAGACCTATAGATGCTTTCAGCATTCATATCCCTTATTCACCTCTGCCCTTGAGGCACTAACAATCGTTGAGTATGCCATGACATTTCTCAGACCTGTGACCCTATCATATAAATGTACAGTGTTATCTAATTCCGTTCCAGACATTTTAAGGCAACACTTTAATTTTGTAAAATATTTTAGTACGATTAGTAGAGACCATAAACAATTTATAGTTGCTAAGAAGTTCCTTGGCTAAGTCATTTTTTTAGATGTCAGCCTAGATGCCACGGCCTCCAGGAAGCATCCCTGACCACTTAGATCCAGTTAGTTGTTTTTGCTCTAAGATCTCTACACTTCACCATGATGGGAATCATGATTCAGCCCGTGGATCATACAATCCTGGATGCAAATCCAACTCCACTTCTTAATGGGCTTTGGCAAGTTATTTAACCTAAATCCCCCTTTCCTCGTCCATAAATTGGGATTCATACAACAGGGTTAAAGGAGAGCATGCATATTAAGTGCCTACACAGTGCCTGGCACATGGTAAGCAATAAATAAGTGCTGGGTGCCATCATCGTCGTCCTCACCACCACCATCATCACCATCATCATCATGACACTTTATTGTAATTGCTTGTTGAATATGCTTGTCTTTCTCATTTGACCAAAAACCATATCTTCTCTGTTTTCCTATTTGTCCCCAGTGCCTGACACAATTTCAGACACATAATAGGAGCTTAGTAATTTGATTGTTGAATGGTTGAGATGAATTCCAGCGGCCCAGATGACAGCAGTGACTGCTGGGGTTGGGCATTGCCTCCTCCTTGAGTCACATCCTTGCCATCTTTTACGCCCTCAAAAGCAATGAGATGAGGCCTAGTTCCTTCAAGAGTGAGTCCACCAGAGTAGCTCCTAGACAGAGTGGGTGAGATATTGTCGAACCCACAGCATCTCAGAGCTAGAAGGGATGCTCTCAATCTCCCAACCCACCCCTTTCATTTTACAAAGTACATGCTAAGACACATCCACTGCTCAGCTGGGTTAGACGTGTGCATGATTGGAGGGCTGTAGACCCAAGAAGAGGAATTTAGAAGACAGTTAAGTTGGAGCAATACAGTTATTTTTCAAATTTCATTTTTTTCATCTGCTACCATATTATCTATGGAATTTGCTTTTTATTCTTTAAGGATAACACTCAGCTAAGTACTTATAAATAATAAATGCAAAAAACTAATAATTAGCCAGAGGAGATATTACTTCTAACTGAGGAAAAACTGATATTCACTACAAATGTAAGGAATATCCACCACATATTAAACAGCTCGTTAAGGGAGTGCATTGTGGTCCTGCTCACCTGCTTTCTAAATTTCATCACAAAGCATATTTCAAATGAAGAATAATCTGTGACTGCAGTGGCAAAAAATAAAAAATTCTAATGCAAATAAGATTTGGAAAAATATGAAACCACTTAAATACTCTAATTACTTTAATTGTAGGGCTTGCCATCCCAAGAGGCCAAAACCTTGCAATAGAAGAGCTTCATTTCTACCTCCCTGTCAATGTAAGACCTAAGGCCAGATTCCACAGCCGTTTTCCAAGCGTCCATGTTGTTTTGCACCCATTGCATTTACCCAAATATGCCACAAGAGGGCAGCACATACCTGGTTAACTTAAAATTCCACGTCCGGTGGCCAGATCAAAACACTTGTCTAAATTAGTCCGAGACATTCCTAAATTATCACTTAGATAGGAAAGCTGTTGGAAAAGATAAAAGGAGCATAAAAGAATTCATCCTTAAGACTCTGAGTTTCTACAAAAGGGAGTCATTGAGCTAATCAAGCTGCAAAATGGGAAAACAGAGTTAAAGAAAAAAAAAGGAATTCCACCAGCTGAGAAAATGGAAATATTTGTTACATTTGAAGGACTTTTACTGAGTGTGATAATCTGAACACCAACTACTCAACGAGAATCAGATCTCGTTGCTATTAATAAGGAATAATTAATAAGTTACTCTGCAACAAAGACCATCTTGTAAAGGGTTGCTTCAGTAATGTTCTCTTGAATGAGCTCAAATCAAGCCTGTCTTATATTGTGTTACGTTGCATCACAGACAGCTTTAGTATGTTTCCAATGTCTTATACAAAAGCATCAGCAATATTCATGAATTTTGGTATTCTAGAGTTATCTGGTCAGGTTTTGTTATAACAGAGAATATACTGGCTTTAGAATAAGTGACACATAGCCTTTGAATGTAAATTTCAGTAAAGCCTCATTAATTCAAGGCTGTAAATCCAGAATTTGTGATAATTTGGCTTAAATACTATCTACGTAACATGTAGAGAAAGAGGTTTGCTAAGCAAATACGTAGTCTAAGCAGTTAGCAAGAGGATATGCTGCAATTATTTAAGAATAATTAAATTTTTAAGTCTAACTCTAATTTTAAAATTTTTGCAAAATCTTTTGGCAGAAATATAACGTGTGCATTTCTAACCAGCTTCTTGGGTGATTCTGGTACGGTCAGCCTAGTACCAGTAAACAGCCTGCTCTTTGATTATTCTCGAACACTCAGCACGTGGTCTTTCTTGGAGCAGATGATTAACATGACTGATCAGCTAAAGCATGCGCTTTTAGTAGCTAGCACTTCGTTAACCTTTTGTGAGTTATATTATGTGTCTTTAAAATGGCAAAAAATAAAACAAAAGTGGATTTCCCACTCAGGTCAGCTTTCTTCACCATTCCAAGTTACTAACAATTTACTATCTAATTACAAAATCTTACATTCTAAGATTTCTGCTAACAATTCTTGCTTTTGATAAAATCAATTTTGAGAAAACCGTAAAGATGATTTTCTTCTCCAATGTCCTTCTATTGATCATGGAAAAGATGATATGGCATGCTTTTCTCAATGTACCTATGGGATTGACAATATGCGCATGTGTCCAGACAATAGTCAGTTATCTGAATATATTCCATTTTGGAATAGCAGATCTAAGTGCTAAGCAAGTAAATACCATCATGTTCAAGTTCAGAACTTGAAGATCTTTCATCCTTTATTAGTATTAATAGACCCTTTATTTTTAGATGTATCCAAATACCAAATATGAATGGCCACGTATGTCCTAATGTACTTGAGAAATCTCACTACTAATTTTGTGCTACTAACTTTTTCATACTGTATCTAATTAAGAAAAAGTCTTGTCTTTTCTATTGGCATCATTCAGGGAAGACAAAGCTTAGTCCAGATGTTTCTGTGTGAATGCACATTCCTCACTAAATCTCTCAGGCAACTGCTTTTAGTTACTGTTACTAACACGTTGCTCTGTCTCTCTTTGTATACATGTCTAATTTATCAGTTTCTTGTAGATTGTCAGCAGCCTGCTGCCTCCGTACCGCCACAGTGCTCACAACTAGCCGGGAGGCAAGACTGCCCGACTGTCAGGTAAATTCACACATCCTTTCTCTTCCCACCCAGTTGCATGTCAGATCCATAGACCCCAGGCTCTCCTTTCCAACACTGTAATTGCCTATACATCATTATATTTGCTACATTTTGTTTCAAATATGGGCTACACAAACACACATTGGATACCTGAAGTCCGTTTGTGCCCAAAGGAAATACAAGAGAGCTAGAGTTGACTTCACCCACTGGTGGGTAGACTAAAGGCCGCCTTCCTCTCCTTTAATGAAGACTTGGCTTAGTCTGGTGTTTCATTACCTTCCAAAATATGAAACCTGGAATTGTTAGGATGTTTGCCCTACTTTTTCTTTTGTTTGTCTTTGGTTTTTAGAATATATTTCTCAGGCAAACAAACAGGAAGGCTATAAAGCATATCTAACGTCTGTTCCAAGACAACTTTATCAAAGTGTTTCTGATTTGTCTCCACTCAGTATCCTCATTAAAACTGAAATCAAAAGGTGAGGAAAAATGTGTAATTGGCATTCAAAAAAATATTTGCAGTGAGAGAGCTCTCTATGGGCAATTAACTGAAGAATTTTAAAGGCAGGTTTACCTACTCCCTTGACACTAACCTGGAGAGGTTGCTGACAATTTCCATTCCCGTGAAAGCTTTGCAAATCCATCAGGAATTTGCCTCTGTTGTGGGTGAACTTCCGCACGGCAGCAGAGCACCCCAGGGGACCTCGTCATCTTCGTGTAATACTTCATCTCCAATTATTTGGCCTCTGATGGTGCCAAGTTTTTCTAGTCTGGTTGTGGCTTTTATAGTCTGCTCCTCGTTCTCTCCTTATTTTCATGTGTCTGTTGCTCTTCTGCCAGGGCAAAGCTGCTCGTGAGTAGGGGCAGGCCCAAATGTATTTCCATGTGTGTCTGAGGGGTAGATGTCAGTAGCAGGCTGCATGTGTTCATGGGTTAGAGCCGGAGAGCTGGGGAGCCACCAGTGCTCCCCAGAAACACAGCAGCAGCCAGTGTGACTTGGTCTCTGAGGCAGATGTGCAGCCAGCTCTCCGAGGGGACATCAAGATAGCGGGAAAAGTACGTGATTAAATAGGCCCCAAGCTGGTGTCTCCCCACTGATGTCCCAGCCTGCTGCTCCCAACACTTCCATCAACGTGGTTTTTACTTCAGGAAAGTTCTTCACTAATTTACAAATGCCGGTTTATAACAGCAGCCAACTGTAGGGTAATTTCAATTATGTAAGTAACTGAATATAATTATAAATGTACAAACCCATCTCAGTGGATGCTGCATGTGTGGTCATGAAGAACGTGGGCTGCTAACCTACAGCCCATTCTCTGCAAGCACCCCCACCCCACCCAGGGCCTGGCGCGTGACAGATGGTCAGGAGCTCTTGCTCACAGGAATGAGTGAAGGAGCTCTGGGGTCAGCTGGCTTGGGTTTGAATCCCACCTCTAACTCCTACTAGTTGTGTAATCTTGGAAAGATGCTCGTGCTGGCTGAGAGTCCCTTTCCTCACCTGTAATGTAGGGATGAGAAGAAGCACAAGCCTTCCCCGTGGCTGCTCTCAGTATCTGTTATTGCTGCTAACCGTTCCTCAAGACAAAGATCTACAGTCTCCTTCATGACCTCTCTAATTTGCCTGGGCAAAGAGTGGCAAAGCCTACTCTCCTAAATGTTTAAATTAGATAAGAAATGGAAAGGCTAGGGAGGAATTTTTTAAGTTTAATTTTATTTCACTTTGCTTTTTCTTGAGAACCCGTTTGACTAAACAGCTACCATCCCCAGTTCCATATCTTCTGAGATTACCGAATTTAGGCTGCTTGCTACCTCCACACAGATGATTTCCTTAAAGAAAAGCAGTTTAATGAATTACAAATGTTTCTAGTTTCTACCCACATGAATACAGCATGGTCCAGAGCAGGCTTCCACTGTCCTTCATTGCGGTCCTCATGGAAAAATGATAATATACATACAGACCTGAGAAGACTGTCCTTTTCAAAGCGGTTGGGATATAACTGGCTTCCTCCTTCCCACCATGGCCCTTGCCAAATGGATCACTGCCCTTTCTGCTTCTTCCAGGTGGAAAACTTAACACATAGCCAGCGTTTGAATTCTTATTGTGTACAAGACAAGTGTTAAATTTTTTACACTTATTAATCATTACAATCCCCAAAAGGTAAGCACAGTTAATACACCCATTTTAAAATGAGGAGACCAGGGTTCAGGGAGGCAGCATGACTTCCAGGGTCACTCATTCTGAAAGCAGCTGATCCCAATGACTTGGCACCCATTCTCCTAACCACCCCTGGACACCGCCACACTTCAAGGAGACGCTCCCCCTTCCAGTTATGCTATGAGGAGCAAAGTCAGACCACGTTGACTCTTCATCCCTGAATGGAAAAGGAAAGTTCGTTTAATGAGAAATAAACATGCTAAGAATGTTGAGTGATTTCAGACCGTGTTCTGTATTTCTGTTTCTCACTTGAAATATTGTTTTATATCTCTTTCAGCGTATACATGTTTTCAAAATAATTTTTTAGGTGTATAGTTTTGAATAAAAGAGCATATGTCACATTTGAAAATGTAGAATTTTTCCATATACGCTTTTTACAGACTGATTTCATTGTAGAGCTAACTTATTAAAGTTGTTTTTAGGTAATAGATACTATCATACAAAAGGAATGCCCAAGGTGTGGCAGCCATGGATGTAATAATTAATTTGGAGGGATGTTTGATATTTAGCATTTCTACCCTTCTATCAAATAGTTGCTTACTTAGAAAAAAGAAAAAAGGAAATTTCTGAAGATATATCTGTTTTTATATCTTAGTAATGGTTTCCTAACTCTGCTGTTTAAACATGGTCTACCTTCATAAAGTAGGATCTTAAATGATGAAGGTTGAATAAAGAGTGGGCTCCTGAAGATTTTTAGCGATCAGAACTAAAACTGAATTCATCCTGTACCTTAAATGATTAGAATTTATCAAATATTGACATTCAAGAAGTAATTTCTTAATCTGTAAGCAAAAGCATGCTTCTGTCACATAATATACACAGTGAAATTGCATTTTATGCAAATTTAAAATAGTAATACTATAATTTAAAGACATGTCTAATCTCTCACTTTACGTAAGAAAGATGAAATAAGGAAAAGAATTTTAAATCATCACGAATGACATAACATGAAGGTGTTGGGCCAATGGGGCCCATGGTTGAGCTGTTGCCACACACTTCAGCTAGTCCACAGAAATGCCTGTCTTCCTTTACCCGGAAAAGTATGGAACTACATGGGATCTTCGAAAACTTAGCCTCTCGTATAATGTGACGACCTTGTGCTACTTGCCATCACTTATGTTGAGTAACGTGTTTAGTTCCCTAAAAAAAGCTCGTTCTAAATCATCTAGACATGACAGAAAGAAACTCTCTGAGGTCTATGGGAAAGTCTGTCTGCCGCCATGTTTCCCAGGCCATCGGACTCTGTCTGGAGGGTGGAGGAAGAATCTCGTCAAGTGATGTTTCCTCAGCCTTTTTGTTGAAGCCCCAGCTCTCCCATTGTTTACCTACCATGTTCTAAAAATAGATAGGAAAATCATTTTTATCACTGGTTGTCCTATCTAGAAGAGCATATCTCTCTTTAAATTTATAGCAGTTCAAAGACATTGAGAAGTAAGAGTGACCTCAAGTAGATCAATATTTTACATAATTATGATTTTGTATTAAAATTCAAGCGAGATACATGAAGAATAATTTCAGTACCAAAGATAAAAATCATTTGTTTAATGATCATTTGTAATTACTTCAATGATATTAGTAGCTTAGAAAAACTATGATTAAATTAATTAATAATAATAAACCTTGAATAGTTTTTTCAAGTATCACCCTTGGCAGCAATGAATTCTGTGGTACTGAATTTCATAATAGAAAAAAAAACAGAGTTTTAGAAAAATGCTGATCTTTTTCAATTGAAAAAAAATCCCCATGGTATGATTTTCTCTGTTAGTTACATTTTAATTGATCTGAACTCAAATGTGTTTTGTAGTTTTACCTCAGGAAATTCAATGGTTTTGCTTCCTTATTCTTTATTCCTTATTGTTCATCAAGACATTGATGAGCCTGAACACATCTGTGTTCATTTAAACTGGGCACTCTCAAGGTGATCCTGTGGAAGTCTGCATGATATACTTAAATAGGAAGTTTGAAAACTCTTCTGTCTTATTTAGATTATCTAAAGCAAGTAGGGGGAACCCTTAGAGCAAATTAGACTTGGACAGGCAAATTAATTATCCTGTTGAATCTGGATCTACCAGAGAGCTGATGTAGAATCCTTTAAAGCCTTGGTCCAGCACTGTCCACATCCCGGGGAACTTGTTAGAAATGCAGATTCTGGGGCCGGCCCGGTGGTGCAGCGGTTAAGTGCACACGTTCTGCTTCAGCGGCCCAGGGTTTGCCGGTTCGGATCCCGGGTGCGGACATGGCACCGCTTGGCAAGCCATGATGTGGTAGGCGTCCCACATATAAAGTAGAGGAAGATGGGCACGGATGTTAGCTCAGGGCCAGTCTTCCTCAGCAAAAAGAGGAAGATGGGCACAGATGTTAGCTCAGGGCTAATCTTCCTCAAAAAAGAAAAAAAAGAAAAAGAAATGCAGATTCTCAGCATCCACCCCAGACCTGTCAAATCAGAATCTGCATTTTACCAAGATCCCCAGGTGATTGGTATGCACATTGAAGTCCGAAAAGAACTGATCTAAAGGTATCTTGTAACTAACCAGGGACCTAGGCGAATGAGACTGTGCAAAAACTGAAAAGAATGACTGCAGAGCAGGAGCTCACATTATTTCCCTAACACGTTCATTTTTATTTTTTGTGTGTTGTTTCGAAAAGCCACGGTTGTCTTGGCAGACTTTAGATCTAAACCATTTCCTGTGCAAAATTTCTGTTCACGATTTTAAAATTTCTGTGAAAACACTGTGTCCATCTAGCCCTCACAAGTGTGCCTGGCCCCTTGTCACTGCGTTTCTTGCTGACACGCTTGTTTCTCATTTGCAGTCCTGACCCAGCTCTCCCAGAGGAGCAGCCACATTCCAGCTCGCAGTGCACCCCTCTCCACTGTCTCTCCAAGCCTCCTTACCCTTAGCCTTCACCTCCTGCGGACGAACATCTGGGGTGAACATTTTGTAGCCACACACAGGATACTGCCCAAGATCCAGCAGTGTTTTCTTTTTGGTGGTTAGATTATCCTTGGATTAATGTCCATCATTCTGGAAGATGAGAGAAAGTTGAGAAGAATAACACAAAGCACAGACTCTGGTGTGATAGAACGTTTTATGGTTTCTCTAAGTCACAGATAAACTTCTGCAATCAAATGGCTACCGTTCAGTTAAATCAAAAAACAAGGTGAAACGAAACAAGAAACATGTATCTCAGATGGCTGGCTTTACCTCGATAGCATAAGAGAGACCTAAGACAATGTAAAATACGTATATTGTAAAGTCATCTTTCCTCATACTTCAAATTCAGCCATAGAGGTTGATTCTGATTTTTTTTGTCATTAATATTTATTTTGTACTTTATTTGCCACATGGGATTCATGTCTATAAAAATTTCTGTGAGAGGTGAACTTAATTCGTTTATTTTTAAAGAAGCATAATTTGCTCAGTTAAGTATGAGTTTTAATTTAGTTTGAAATCTGGAATTGGCCAGACGGTGGTCATTTTTCCTGCACAAAATGATAATAAGGTGCATCGGAATGTTAACAATAACTGTATTTTGCTGCTACATTGATATTGCTTATGCACTTATTTTCTAATCAGTAGCTCATTAACTGCTGTTTGTTTTTTTTTTTTAACTAGAATTCTTCACTGGACATTATTAAGTAAATCTAAAAAAGAGACTACGTTACGATTCATTGACTTATTTGACTTTTGACTGCATCTTTAATTTTTTTAAACTTGCAGACAAGTGGATGCACCGGTGCTGCTCCTTTGTGTGTGTGTACGTGTGTGTGATAATGTTGAAGAAGGCTAAATCATGGGAAGGGAAAAAAATGGGGTGTTTATTTAATGACCTGGATTTTTTTACTTCTCCCAAATTCAGAGTCCTACTATGAGTCTTTCCTGCTAAAAAGTATCAAGTACAAATGGGAAAATACCTACCTAGATAGATGTAAGTTAGCCTTTGGTTAATTAAATTACCCAGAAAGTGTTCAAATTTTGATTAAATTGTATGTTTTGTTGTTGTTAGGTTTCTTTCATAGTGAATCTTCCTTGCCAAAAAACAATAGATGATAAATCTTAGCTCATTGTCTACTTTTGACAAACACTCAGGTGCCTACAATCATTATATTATATTGAGATAATACGTGGTCCTAGTTAATTTCCAGATTCTGCTAGGTAACTTTTATGACTTGATTTAAGGCAGTGGATTTTCATAGCAAAATTTATTTTGCACATAATCTGACAAACAAGGAAAACAGCTAATTGAGCTGAAAGGTCTAACACTCTTGGGCTCCTTAACTATCAAGTGCTGCCCGCACAACTGCTCCTAGCCCTGATTCCTTGTCTAGTCAGGTAGCCTTAACTTATTTAAAACCATAACGGTTTGACTTTTTCATGTAATGATATCTGTAACTTATCTTTAAAACGAAAACAATCCTCACTGTTAACACAAAGGATAATTAGCAATGCAAGGTTCTAACAATGGAGCTCTAGTAGGAACCACTCAGCTTATCGAATGGAAGTGGGTGGAATATTAATGGAGTGGCCCATCAAAGATGGCGGCCAATCAGTAAGTCAGAAAACACAGTGCAGGAGCATTAATGGAGTGGTCCATCAAAGATGGCGGCCAATCAGTAAGTCAGAAAACACAGTGCAGGAGCATTAATGGAGTGGTCCATCAAAGATGGCAGCCAATCAGTAAGTCAGAAAACACAGTGCAGGAGCATTAATGGAGTGGTCCATCAAAGATGGCAGCCAATCAGTAAGTCAGAAAACACAGTGCAGGAGCTCTCATCAGTCATACACCTGTGAAGTAGTGGTCACTATTACCAAAGCAACCGAAAGGTTTTGAGTTCCTTATATGAGTGCTATTTTCAACAGTGTCATTTATCATGCAACTTGGAGTAGTTGGAAATCTTCACCAAAATAGGGATTCAGGTTAAAATACAGAAAAAGAAGCAAAACAATCTTCATAAAGTCCAGATCATGGCAACCTAACCTTCTGCTCTTTCCTACCTGCATTGCCTTGCTGTTCCTAAATGTTTTCTTCATTGTATTGGTGTTGTATCTGCCTGGTCTCAGTATTAGTAAGAAAGAATGGATGTTATGAGAGTTCAATTAAAGGAAGCTACCCTACCCCCACCCCTGCTCTCTTTTTCTCTTTCTCTGGTTTCTTTTTCAAGCATCATATGTTTGGACCTGAGAAATGGCATAGCTGCTAAGTTGGCTTTTAATAAAAACTGTTTGTGCCTGAGGGAAAATATGCCTTTTTCAAAAGTACCTCAGAACATCTTCCTATATTTCCTCATCAATTTCGTTGGTGGCACAGGGAACTGAGCAGTAAATATTGTCCGTGTGTAGCTACAGGGCAGTACTGTCTATTGACAGCGCTCTACTGCGTTCATGCTCCCTTACTCAGTATTTATGACCTGGTGAAAAGATGAATCATAGACAAAACATTTATTCTAATACAAATTTTATCATTACATGTATTATATTCCAGTTTTATTTCTGTTCTTTATAGTAATAGAGTGGGAAATGCTTGTTTTGAAATATTAATCTTATGAAAATGTTAATTTTAACAAAACTTTGCCAAGAAGATATAGAAAATTGGAAATACTCTTCTACTTTTCAGCATGAAATTAGATAAGCAGTAAGAGAGAATTCCATGTATTTACACGGTGGCATCATTTGGTATAGTTTAAACTGAGCCATATCTGTATTTATTTCCATTTAGACTTTTAAAGTGAATAAATATGTGAGGCTCTGATAAAAGTCAGAACCTGCAAAGAAACATCAGGAAACAAAAGAAAATTGAAAAATTGAAGAACAAGTGAAAATCAAAAATAACAAATCTCAGTAAGAATAATGGAAGACAGACTTGGGGAAGAAAAACCAACTACAAATACAATAAAATTACTGGCTAATTATTGCAAACACAGGGAACTAGCAAAAGCAGTCATTTTTTAAAAGTAAGCACAATTACCATACTGGAAAGAAGAGTCAGTATGCAGAAATGCTTTCCTACTGAGGATTTTTCTTAGTTAAAAAATTAAATTAAAAGTAGCAATAAATTGCCTTTGGCCTGAGTGCACAAGGGCATACAGGACCCTCGGCTTAATCTTTCCAGTCAATTCATGATTGATCAGATCCCTTTCATGTATCGAATTCTGTTTCAGTAAGAGGAATTTGGAGAACTGTGAGAAAACAGAAAGTTATTAAATAAGAAAAGACCTATTTAGAAAGATTATACTTTAGCCTAAGGAAGAGGAGCCACAATGTAATCTTCAAGAAAAGAAAATTTAACAAACGATAGGAACATCGATATGGTTACTAAGACTAGAATAAGAACAGTCTTCAGAGTGAAGGGTTTATATTAACTCGAGGAAAGAGATTTTTGACAGTGGGAAATTAATCACTGAAACTGATCATCATAAGGAAGATTTGTTTTTTAAAAATTAAATATTATTGGTTATCTAGTAAGGATTAAGTGGCAAGATGTCTTATGATAATCTATTATAATTCTGAGATTCCATAATCTTTTGCTTCTTTTAAATTTAAAAATACGTTAAAGTTATACTGGTTAGTCATAAAATATTTTATCCCTTGAAAATAGAATAGCAATTGTAATTTTTCCAAGATATTTGGTAAAAAAAAAGACAAAACAAGATCATTGGTATTATTTTTCTTTCCAGCTATATTTCATAATATCTTTAAAGTTGTCCAGAATGTAGTAATTTTACTATAAAAAGCCTCAGTTGTCAGAGTCTAAAAAAACAAATGTCCTCAGGAATACTTTGGAAATAGAAGGTATGCAATCCCTTAGGGGGGCAAATGTCTCTCAAATTTTATCTTTTCTTAAAAGGATCTTCAATCTACAATATTTGCTTTTTCCATGCTTTGGAAAATACTTCTGTACAGACCTTCTCTTTCAAACAAGCATGAAATGTTGGTCAAATAAACCAGCTATGAGTGTGGACATTTCCTGATACTGTATTACATAAAATTCTCTACAGTTCTCAAGTGGAAATCACAAAATATGAAAAAGAAGAAATGAAATATATTTTCCACTGGGATAAGAATGGCAAACGTAATGTATAATTGTTACAATCAATCAGCCAAAAGACATAATCTGCCTCTCAGCAAGACATGGCAGGGGAAACTGATGGGTTGCCAATAAGGAACTGTGATGACTCGACCCAAGGATGCCACAAATTTATTGATATTCTAAGTATAAAGTAGGACTAGAGTCGAAAGGAACTCTTAGGATAAAGTTCCCAGTGTTAAAAATTTGCCCTCCTGGTTTTTTGTTTGTTTATAAGCCAGAATGATTTAAAACAATCCTTGTATTTAAGATTGCAAAAAACTTACAAGAATATGTTTCTGAATAAAAAGGAACGTAATTCTTTAAAAAGCTGTTGAACTAGAGTTGTGATAGAAAGCGTGATCAATGTTGATACTGACAAGTAATTTTTACCTTGAAATCAATTTCTGTGGACATACAAGACCAATCTAGCTCCCAGGTGACCATTTCCATTGTCTTGTGGTAATGCCCCTAGATGATTTGTGTCTATAGTTAAATTCATCTTTATTCAAATACCAAGTTTACTGCCATAGTCCCTGATTGTATTGCATATGTAGCCCGATCCTATTATGTTAACATCTGAAAGATTTCATCTAGCCATCTCTTCTGTCCTTCTTACTCAAAGTTTAACTGGAAAAGATTTTAGTATTAAGATATGTTCCCTGATTGAGGATTTTCCAGAAATAATATTCTACTTAAGAAGAGGAGCAATTAACTGCCTTTACTGTAAGGTGCGAGTGCATAAGTCTGCCATGTAAAATGTTTGCATGAGATATTTCCCATCATGTTAGCTTTCCCATATTCACAATATGAACACTATAGAAGTCTTATTTCTCTTGTGGTCTTCTCTCCATTAGAAATGGAAGGAGATCGTTACCTGTATCTGGTCTCCTTTCCATATTAAAATGCATGGCTCAAATCCTCAGTGAATTTTCACCCCTTTCCTCTGGAGTTACTTACAATTTGCCCTTTTAAACTGAAGCTGGATAAACTGCTGAGCCAGATCATTTTTGTGATTGGAGTTTAAGCGCAGTAGAACATTGGTGGAGAGCACATTTTAACTCTAACTTTTTTTTTCTTTCAGAATTATTCTCTGATCTTTATGGTTCTCTAATGAAAACACTGAGAAGTATGTCAGATGCTTTCAGTGTGACTGTTATATTTTCTTTTTAAAGAGTCGTTTTAAAACAAAGAACTATAAAGTAAAGAGAAATGTCATCATTTTGTCGACATATCATTCATTATTCGATGATAAGGGAGGTACAGAATGAATCATTTTGTTGTCTGGGTTTATAGCTATAATTACGCACTAAATCTTAGCGCAAATAAGTTATTTTAACATTATTGCCGCAAAATTTTTAAGCTCAATGGTTTGACTGTTGGAGTCAATTAAAAATTCTTTGAAAATCTTTTGTGACATTTTTGTAATCTACTCAGTGTTTTTATTTGCATGATTATGCCTATGTGATGAGCCATTCATGATTCCGATATTGTATTTCTTTCCAGTATTATATTTGTGTAATGTGTGACCAACCTGATTTGTACATTGTATGATTATTGTTATGATGATTCTGCTGTTCCTACGCTTAATTGCAATTTTGTTATTATGCCTTTTGGGATCAAATGATGTGAAGTGTTTCCACCTAATGATAATACCATATGAAAATATGACTAAAAGACTGACCTAAGAGTCTGTTTTGTTGCTAATTATTTTTGAAAATCTAAATTTCAAAGGAAACTTTCTCAAAGACATAGACATTTATTTTAAATTCAAAACAATTCTTTTGAATTTATTATTGCTTGTCCTTTTTAATTTTTTTATTCTAGACAATCCTAAGTGAATGTCTCATGGGAGAATCCATATGATTTGTGCTTGTATTTGTGGAATCTGATGATGCACTCGATGGTTGGAAAAGGCACTCCAGTGCTAAGAAAATAACTGAAGCCAATATATCAATTCTTCAATCTTGGTTTATGTTACCAACTGAATATGGTGTAATGCGTAACTCTTTCCAGTAAATAAACTGGTTATCTTTTGTTCATTTCATCTATGCTACCTTTTTATCAGTTTGAGCAATTTTTCTGTATGTCACTTCGATTTGTATTTACCAAAAAAAAACTATATGAATTGCTATATGATTTATATATTTATTCAAAGTGAGCACTTATTTTAACTAAAAACTGAAGGCTTTGCTTTGACATTTCTACACATTCCTATTAAGAAATGTGTATCAACTTTGCCCATTTTCTCCACTTACCATCTCTCCTACTTGTAATCTTTTCAAAAAGGTTATTTTGGCAGGAGCATACACTTAGCTGAATTAGATTGGAAACGTACCAACATGAAGAAAATGCCTGTTCTAAAAAAAGAAAACATTATTTTAATGAAAGAATAATGAAGTTTTGCATGCTTTATTTTGGGAGACAGTTCTCTTTTGTTCTCTTTCTTATGAAGGAACAGCAGAGCCCCAGAACTTTGAGGAATGTTCATTTTCCAGCTCCTTCTTCAAATGTGCGTTGTGGCAAATCAGCTGCTTTGGGCATCACCTGATTTTATTTCGGGTGGCAAGGGAGGCAGAGAACCAGACAGAATTTGGACTTAGGTGAGGTTCTAATGAGTGGAACCCTCTAATGCTACAATCCTCATTATAACGAATCAAATTAACCCACCATGGACGCTGCAACAATCCTGCTTAAGATTGCCTCCTTGCCTGTTGTATATCCAATGCTAGCAATCGTAGTGTAAATTTTCCTAAAAATCTTTCCTTTTTCTCTTCTGAAAGCTATTGTTTTTCTGTGAGGTTGGGGCTCTACATCTATCTGATCCTTGGTCTTCTCTTATACAATAAAACTGATGGCTTGTTACATTCAAAAGTTAAAACAAGTGGATCAACCTAAGGAATGTTAAGAAAGTCTGTTCTCATCCCTACTTTTGCAGGCCACTTGGGTAGCACTGTACCATTGTGAGGGCAATGTGGAGGCATCCTGCAACCCCACTGGGGGTAAAAGAGAGGCCAAATTGATGGGAACTTGTGAAGAGATGTTCTTAGTTTTTGGTTGTACACACATTGACTAGCACTGTAGGAACTCAATAAAGCGGGTTCCTTGGCTCCTTGCCATCTGGCTTTTCTTATGACACATCTGGAATTGAGTTTATACAACCTATTGTCAGCTACTATACTATCAGCAGGCACTAAATGCCAACAATCTGGAGGAAGTGGTCTTAAAATTAAATGAATGGTTTTTCCCGTCATTCTCTCTTGGTCAATCTGAAAACTAGATCTCTAACATTGCATTTGAAGGAGCCTTAATGTATACAATGAAATCATCTGTCAGAGTTCCTTCTTAAACATTTTGTGAATGAACTGTCACGTAAATACTTTAAGAAGAAACTCAGACTATTTCATCTGCAACATAACTGTCAAGGAAGATAAATTTCACTGGAGAAAATATTGCCAGCGTCCAAAATAAACATAATTTATAATGTAATTTAAAGGTAGAAAGCAATATGAAGATAAGTAAATCATAACTATAGGGACATCTGTTAAATAGTAAAAACAATGTTATAACTGTCTACGTAGTTTGTGAGACCCAGTGCAAAATGAAAATACAGATCTTCTTGTTCCAAAAAAATTTTTTTTTTTTGAGGAAGACTGGTGCTGAGCTAATATCTGTGCCCATCTTCCTCTACTTTATATGTGGGACGCCTACCACAGCATGGCTTGCCAAGCAGTGCCATGTCCGCACCCGGGATCTGAATTGGCGAATCCCCAGCTGCCAAAGCAGAATGTGCTCACTTAACCGCTGTGCCACCGGGCCAGCCCCCTGTTCAAAAATTATTAAGAATTTCAAAACAATGACAGCAGAGCATTAAACTAAGCAGGGAGTCCTAAACACAGGGTCGTATGTGACTGTACAAGTCCACATGCCCTTGAAGCCGGCCTTGCCTCTGAATGTGCTGAAATACTGATTTATGACCTCAACACTAAATGTAGCGATCCAGAACCTATGTTTTATTTTTAACAGAGTGGATATCCCAGTTTCTGAGCTTGGAAGAAAATGTGTTTATGTTCTAGGGAAAGAACTTTTAACGCTATTACTTCAAAGAATTGTCAAGTTGAATCTTGCCATATAGCCATATCCCAATGCACCCATACATTTCAACTCAAAATTTCTAAACTCCCGCATACCTACCAAGCTGAACAGAGATTATAAAAATCATTAAAAGAACTCTTCAAAATATCAGCAGTAGACATTTTAATTAGTGTCTATTAAAGTAAAACTAATTTAAGAACCCTGCTGATACCTTCACAGCTTGACTTCCTTTGAAGTTATAAATTAAAAATGTCAGTCAAATGTCACAGGAAGATTTACCTCGTTTAAAAGAGCTATTAGCCCAAGATCAGTAAATGATTCATATCAGCTTTTCTTCCAGATAAATCAAAGGGGAAAGAAATTACTTACTTCATTGAAATCTATTGACTTAGGAATTATGGGCTGTCATGTTATAGTAGCTACCCTACCTGTAAGGAAGGGAGAAAATAAAAATATATCTTAATTTTTTCTTGTATTTGATAAAGTCTGAGTGGAAACCCATAGACATGGTTATCCGTAAAAGGGCAAAGTGTTGGTGGAAGGGAACCGGGAGAGTCAGACTCCTCGGTAGGCAAATGCCTTCCTATGTTGCTTTTCTATTTCAACCATGGAAATATAGTGTCTATTGAAAAATGAAAAACTAAAGAAAATATGGGCTCTCAAAAAATTTCACAGTGAAGTCAGAAATAAAAATTGGCATGAATTCTAGAGAAATAACTGTTCTACAGCAGGCTATGTCAGCCGAAATATTTTTAAAAACGTGGAATTTTGTGCAAGTTTAGCCCTGGCACTTATCAGCTCTGAGACTTTGGAAAGGTACTTAATCTCTCCAAGGCTCAATTGTCTCTTTTTTTTTTTTTTTTTTTTTTTTGAGGAAGATTAGCCCTGAGCTAACACCTCTGCCAATCCTCCTCTTTTTGCTGAGGAAGCCTGGCCCTGAGCTAACATCCATGCCCATCTTTCTCTACTTTCTCTGTGGGACGCCTGCCACAGCATGGCATGCCAAGTGGTGCCATGTCCGCACCCGGGATCGGAACCAGGAACCCCTGGCTGCTGAAGCGGAACGTTCGCATTTAACCGCTGTGCCACCAGGCCAGCCCTCAATTGTCTCTTTTTAAAAATGAGGGTGAAAATTACCTACCTGGCAGGGTTATGGGGAAGATTGAGTGAAATAACACACCTAACATCTTTTAAACGGTGTTTAGCCTTTGGTAGCTAATATTATTTCCTATAACAATCCTGGAGTCCTATATGGCTGAAACTCATTCATTCACTTATACATGCATTCATTCAGCAAATATTTATTGGGAACCTATTTTGTGCCAAATATTGCTCAAGGAGCTTAAGATACGTCAGAGAACAAAACAAAGAAGGTTCATGCCTTTCTGAAGTTTGTATCACAGATGTAGATACGTAGATATACATTGATGAGGAAGACACACAAAAAACAGTAAACATAACAAATATGTAAATACTGAAGTATGTTAGACAATGAAACGTGTGGAAAAAGAAAAAAGTAAAATGGAGAGAAGAGATTGTGCTGGGTTGGGGTAGGGAGAAAGTGAAACAGATAACAATAGTGAGTGGGGTGGTCAGATGGGTCCTTATTAAAAAGAAGAAGAAATAAGACAAAAATTATCCTGTTCACATCATGATTGCCTCAGCTTTTAAAATGATTATATTACATATGTTCAAATTTTTAGAATTTTTTATCCATCTAAAAACATCAACCAGCAATGCACATTAAGCAATAGTATTTTAAAACACTAGTCTTTCAAAATGTTCTAATAATTTGGAGGAACGATTACAAAATATGCATGTATTTTATTTTATGACAGTGTTGCTTTAAAATGCCAATATTTGTTTTACAAATAAATATCGTGCTTTCTTGAAGCTCTAGGACATGCCCATTTATGCTTCTAAAATGAAATTTGAGTCAAATAATTGTATTCAACGATCTTATTGATAACTGTCAATTCTAATGAACTTGTAATTGACGCTATAAATAATCCTTAAAATAGCTTATAATGTTGTTTTCCAATACGCAGTCAGAGACTAAGCTATTCTTTCTTCTCATCCTTAATTCTAACTCCTCCTTGATTGACTCTTTCATTCAAATTTTGTATAAAATTAAGGGCATCTTTTACAGTGCATTCTCACAAACTTTCTTCCTAATACAAAGGTAAGAAAGATATCACGTTGCTAAGCTTTGCATTAGCTTGCTGCTGAGTGTTACCATTTTTCTTAGAGTTATATAGATTCCGACTTCAAGCTTGGCTATTTCAGTAGAATTGACGGAAAGAAACATATATTTAAAAGTCAGCCTTCTCCTTGTTCTCATGAATAGCTGCCCTGATTCTGGGTTACTTTTTTATAAAATAAAGGCCATGTTACTAAATACATTTATGTAATATGGGAAAGGGCTCGTCAAATTACATGCATAGGTAAGTATGCTTATTTAATAAATATCAAAGATGAAAATAAAATCCAACTGATGAAAACCTCACCTATTAAAAGTCTATTTAGTTATCTCCTTTGAAGAGTTCTTTAATGTTACTTCTTTCCAGCAGATGCAAAAATAAAGCTGACTTGAATTTGGGTATAATTATGATAATGTGATTTTAATGACACACACTAAACCAGTCAAAGTTGTCCTTTAATGTGTGATTCATCTGGAAAATGGCTGCTCTTTGGGCTGGACAAGGGCAGCCAACCAATATCTGTCATATCATTTGATTTCCACATCTAGTGATTGATGGGAAAAACAAGATTTTCCAGAAATACTTCTTAGAAACATATTGTTATTGGATGTTGAATATTCCAAAGTCTACATTTGAATATATTGTGCACATTACTATATAGTTTCTGTATATTGTTAAAGATATAAACCTTACATTTAAAAGATATTTTCTTGCCCAAGATACTTCACTAGAACTTTGAAAGTGAGATCAA